ATACACACACACACACAGACACACACACACACACACACACACACACATCCATACGCGCGCGCACGCACATGCACACGCACACGCACGCGCACACGCACACGCACTCCCGCCCCTGAAAAACACCAACAAACACATCAAGCGAAGTAACGATTCGAAGACCACAAAATGTAAACATAATAGTCATATTAGTAACAGCAGTGCTAATAGGAATTATAGTAATCTAGACTGGCATTCCGATTGATATTGTTGTTATTGTCAATACTACTACTAAGTGCTACTGTTGTCATTCTTGCTCCTGTTGATACTCGCATCTTGACTCCTGCTACTACACCGATCGTTGTAATATTATTCGTGTTGCTGTCAATATTGCCAGGCCTCATCTTCGATGTCGGTGGTCTGGGCCGTCAGAGCGTTCAGCGCATCGCTGAGAAGCTCCAGCTGATCCACAAAGGGCCTCAGGGCGTCGGGCTGGGGGGTTTCGGGTTGGAGGTCAAGGGACCAAAGACCAATTCGGCCTGCGCTGCTGCAGCCACCCACACCCCCTAACTCTAAACCCGGCAGAGCCCTGTACGCTGGGCCATAACCGGTTGAGCCTGACTGCGTGGTGAAACACCCAAAACCTAAAGAAATCAAGACCTCAAAAGCCAAAGGTTTACGTGCAGTTATAATTAGGGTTATAGAAGTGGCTCAACCGGGGTGCAAGTGGTCATAGCTATATCTACTGTACTCTAATGTGTCCCAAACATGCCTTAGCAAACAAGTTGCTGCAGAATGGTCATCAGCTGAGCGTGGACGAACTCCTGCGGCGAGAGACGATACGGTTCATTTGGGGTTCCGGATTTCGGATTGGAGGCCTGAGGCCCTCAAGCTGGCTGCGTACCAATTACTAACTTGGAGATAGAACGACCCCTGACACATGTTAAGTACAAGCCTCGAATGTCAAGCCTAACAGCCTGCGGTGGAAACCGAAAAGCCTAAGTACGCGCTACAAACTGTACAGAGAGGTTTGAGGAAAAGGTATACTTACTAAGTGAAGGCCTGGTGTTAGGCAGCGTCGCCTCTCCTAAACTCTGAAGCCTATATCCCTGAACCCTAAAAACCGTAAAGTCTTTCGGAACCTGCTGAAACCTAGACCCTGCAGCCAAAGGAGGAGAACGCCCCAAAGTCCAAGTCGCCCTAAAGGCCGTAAGCATCCTACTTGACCTCAGAGACAGAAAGCTGTCAAGGCCCAAGTAGGGCCATGAATGATCTAAACTCCAGTTTTTGGTGTATCCCACTACAATTGCGTAGGGCGTAGGACCCTTGTGGGGATAGCATTAAAGATTCAATTGCTAAGCGATGTGGGGGTTTCCGAAAATAGGGACCCTAATATAGTACCCTAAATAATAGGATCCCTATTATAAGGACCCCAAAATAAGGTACCCTATATTTTCTGAAACTCAACCCTAAACCCTAAACCCTAAACCCTAAACCCTACCAATGACTGTTCGGCCGGCCTGCATCATCGCCTCATGCTTCGTGTCCGGCACAGGGCTCGGTTTGACGTTAGGGGACCCATCCGGGCTCCTGACAAACAGGCTTGTCGGTTTAGGGCTTAGGGTTTAGGGTTTAGGGTTTAGGGTTTAGGGTTTAGGGTTTAGGGTGTCTTGAGCAACGAGTTTAGTGTATTACAGGGCTGTGGGGGGGTAACGAGCTTAGAGCAGGTGCATCAACGTTTCGACCGCGGCTTTGGGGACTGCTGGACTCGTTAGGAGTGCTTTCAGGAACCCCTATAATAAGGCCCTAAGGAAGACACTTTCTACTCACGCTTGACCCTCCAAAACGGACTTTGGGCTAAGACTCAGACCCCGACTAACACTCTGTTAAACTCTCCATCACAGCCGAACCGAGAGACTGAGTTCAAACCTGGGCCGGTAAGTAGTACCCTTCACACCGCGCGCTTCAGAGTGTAGGGTTTTTGAGGCGCAAGGCTCGAAGCGCGGTGCGAGGGCATGCATGCCTCTTCAGGGTCGTGGGATCTGTGTTTCAGGGTAAAGCACACTGAACCCTGTAGACCCTAAACCCTAAATCCTAAACCCTAACCCCTAAACCCGAGCCATGACCTCAACATGTGAAGCTCCCTGGCTTACATGTGGCTCCAAGTACCTACTGATTGAAATCTTATAGCTCCTGCGCTTCAGGGGTCGTAAGCTACAAACTCAAGTTACTTTGCAGGGTTTGCGGCTGCACGTAAGGTTCAGGGCATGCGGTTTGTGCGGATTTGATAAACCATGCTTGGATACCAGATCCACTTACCGGCACCGTTCCTCCACCAAACGACATCCCCAACCTGCATATTCTACATCTATCATGCTTCCTCAAAGCTCGTGCTCGACAAAACTCAAAAAGCCACCAAAACTCTCCAACTGGTTTGATAAGAATGGGGCAGTCTGCGAAGAAGGAGCGGTTTCGCATCTTCAAACTATCGAGGGAGCTTTCAAAACTCAATCAACGATATGGTGCTGAACCCTCTGACCCTAAACTCTAGACCCTAAACCACGAGCCTTGGGTTGTGCACGAAGACGACGGGCTTCGGCTCCGCTGGTGGATGTGCGGACGAAGAGGCAGCCATTGGGCTCCCGTGAGATAGGAGGGTTCTCCGATTAAAGACCCCCCCCACTTTTTGGGGATCCTTCGACCCGGCCCATAGACTCGTGGCTTTACAGAAGGGGTTAAGCCCAAAGGCCATCATATGTTTTACTAGGAAGGCATGGCTCACTTGGGCTTTCACTCGGAATTTTTAAGCCCTCTTCAGAATGTAATTCATTAAGACCTTTCGGTTCGGATTAGAGAGACTGCAGGGGTATCGCTGTTCGCGTTTACGGGTTTCAGGCTTGGCGGGGTGTTCCAGGGTAGTACCAGGTTAGTACCATGCTGCTGCATTGTGCCACAGGGGTGTCATGCTGAGAAAAACCCACTCGTCATGCCAACAAAGGTCAATAAGCTTGACCGGGGTCCTCCTGTAGGGTCTTCCTACATGTGGCCCTGTGAGCCGTCACAGACAGAGATGTTCCTGGTTGGGGAACCCCAGACATGACATAACCTCGGGCTAGGGGTCAACGACGCCAACACTGGACCCTAAACTCTCGTCGCATCATGTCTCAACTCTGGCAATCCAGCTCTTCCGAATCAAGATACCAAGCTCTAGGCCCCGAGGTCCCTAACCCCCCAAAGCCTCAGTCCTTTTTCACAGATATACATCCTATAGACCCTAAACTCAAGCCCCTACATGCCAAGCTACCTATCAGTAAGAAAGGCTTCGGAAATTTCGTCCTTTTCGCTCCGCGATAAGTCTATAAGGAGCACCATTTGTATTTAGACTTCAAGTATCGGCATAGTAGTTTCCGTGGCCCGCAATTCGACCCAGGCGCTTCAGCTTCTTGCAGTGGCTAAATTTTTGTACAAGCGATTCTGGTCATGCTACACCATGTAAAAATAGATGTACACACATACATACATACATACATGCATACATACATATTAAGACTGTAATCACAACACTAACAAAAGACAACAGAATCAATGGTAGTCAGAGTAATTGTACCAACAACAATTATACAATAATCACCGTAATGCAGCACTCATGTGCAGAGGGGTGCGCAGACGTCACAAGAGCCCTGAGCCCTAAGGGGTCTGAAGCCGCAGCAGGGCTTGGGATTTTAGGGCTCGGGTTTGGGGGCATTAGGCTTATAGGGTGAATCCGAACCCACCCAAATCCAGCGCCTGTCAGCGTATCCTCTGTCCTTTCGAGAAAAGGGCCAGCGTTTCAGGGCAATGCGCTTGCCCCAAAACAGGCGCAGACTGCTTCATGGTACGAATCCTCAAGCCCAAACTCCATGACATCCTAACCCTCGAAACACTTGGGTCATGAATCACCTAAATCCTAAACCTTGAAGTTATAAACCCTAAGCCCTCTGGGTCATGAATCAAGGATCGGCTCTACACTAAGCGGGAGCTGCTCTAGTCATGGATGGGAGGGGGGCAACCACCATAGTAGAATCGGGTTTTGGGGTTCCTTTAAGAGGTTCCTGAAAAGGTTCTATAAGGGCTGCTATAAGCGTTTAGGGTGTATGGGGCCGTACTAAGTAGGCGGTTTTGGGTTTTGGCCCAGGGCTTGACGGCCCAAAAAGACTCGGAAACCCATGGCTCGGTGGCTAACAAAAACGCGTGGCCCAAAGGAAGCTTGAGGCACCCTGAACCACAGAAAGATGTAGTTCCCTAAACCCTAAACCCTAAAGTTCTTTTTAGGGTTGAAGGTTCAAGGATGAAAGGGAAGCCCAGGCCTCTCAAGGGTAGAGTGTCGCGGCTGCAGATTGGGCTTCATGCTTAGAGTCGCTTTTTTTTTGTGGGCTTCGTGCACTTCAGCTACATGGGAACACTTGAGAAACAGTACCGGCACCCTGTAATCACCCTGTAATATAGCCCCGAACCCGAAGGCACCACATATCAAGACCCTGCGGCGCCCCAAGCAGTTAAACATGTGATTGGCACCGGTTGGAAGCCAAAAAAGCCCGAGACCATACATGCATGGTTCTTGTGGTACGGACCTCCAGCTCACCGAATATAGGGGCCGTAATAATTAGAATAGGGTTTTGGGGGTTCGTTGTTATAACTATAGTATACTAATAGACCCCCAAACCCTATTTTAACTATTAAGGCTTCTACGTTATAGCCTACAGCTTGTAATGCGCTCAAGCCTTCCCTCTATACCGGACTCCAAGCCGAAATCCTAAGAAGCAGCTGCAGGCACAAATCCCAGCACTTACTAGAGCCAAAAACCAAAGTCTTAAACGCTGGATCCCAATATAAAGCCTTCGTCCCACGACAATAAACCGAACATTCAGCCCTTCACCCTCAAAACCGAGCCGTAAAAGCCCAGTTCAAATCCCTCGGAACCCGTATCAACCTCAGGCAACCCTGCAAAACCTCTTTAAGACCGTCTCTACGAACGTCATACACACCACCTTTAAGTAGGCCTCTCGCTGCTGGGTCCCGAGCTGGGGGGCCTCTTCCAGGAGCATTGAAAGCGCCTTTCGCGAGAAAATCTCCAGAGGCTGCAAGAGGCTGCAAGATCTTGAAAGGAGAAGCAGCCTTTCTTGTGAGTCATCATTATTGGTATTCTCATCATAGCAGTTCTCATGTGCTTATGAACTTATAACCTGATCATTCATGTTACTTTTAATGCCCCATGCTTCAGGGATCCGCGGTTGTGGAACCTTTTAAAGCGTTTTGAACTTCCGGGCTTCGGGTCGAAGATGGGGGTAGGCTTATGGGCTTTGGGGTTTGGGTCTTGGGCTTTCCGGCAAAGGAAGAGGCTGCAAGAGCAGGAAGGGTAAGGGTTGCTTTTGGCCTACCGCTAGCCAGGCCGCACTGCAGGGTGAGGGGTTTGAGTTTGGTTTACTTGTCGTGTACAGCTTCCGGCTCCAAAGACAATAATGTGTTTGTAGCGTTCTTGGGCGATGTCGCGCCCAAGGGTGAAACAAGTGTAGTTTCGAGGATGTCTGTCATGGGTCGAACACAGTCTCCAGCACTAGGATCTAGGATGTGGTGCGACAGATTGTGGGTTGAGGGCTAAAGGCTTCAGGGAGTGGGTAAAAGAGATTCTGGATTGAGGCGTATAGAATTTCGACGAGTATATGAATCTGCAAGTCTTGAGGCAGGGGTTGGTTTGCACAGCTGTATCATCATAGCAGAGGACCCCCCGGATTTGAGGCTGCAGCGGTTCAACCCCATGGAGGCTGTTCTACATGAAGTATGTAATGTTTGTTGGAGACTATAAGGAGCCATTGCTAATCGCTCAGACCTCTGCATAGGATTGGCTAAGGAGCGTGGGCTGCCTCGCCGTTCGGATTGGACTCCATGCCGACGGTTTCAACATGAAATTGAAACAACCCAACCCCCGAAACCTTAATATACGGGCGGCCTTAAGAATTCGAATAGGGTTTTGGGGCCCACTATACTATAATATTGGTAATTATTTAGGCTTCCATGTTAAACCCCAAACTCTATGAGGGGTTATTAACCCCCGGCATAAATACGACCCCACCTGCTGCAAGCACTCGAGCACAGCATCGACGCAGGTAGAATCTACGAAGTTGTGCGAGACGGCAATACCTGGGACGAAAGGACTTTATGGTTCAGGGTTCGTCGACGAGTGTTTGGGGTTTGGGAGTTATATAAGGGTTCACTGTCGGGTGCATACGGCATTTACTAAAACGCATAAAGATCCGGACACATGCCTCACATCTTGGAGCAGCGGCTTATTTCGTCAAGCTAACACATTATACAAATAACCCAACGGTCCCAGGTACCGTCATCATCTACTCGCACAGAACACGAACCTGCATTACCACCACCTTTCGTATTTGCACACACTTTGGAACTTTGCAGTTGGACCATATTCCTTAATCTGCTCTGCCTGCCTCTTTGCGGACTTCTCCTGCTGGAAATTCCAACATTCAACACCGAACAGGCCAGAACAACCCGACCATCTTGATTCCTGTGAAACCTTACTGAGATATTGAACCTTACTCAGGATTTCGGGCTCAAGGTTTCGGGTTTCCCGGTTCAGGGCTGGACAGAAAGGCGAGCGTAGATTTGGTGGCTGAGGGTTTCGGAAGTCAAGGTTGCAGGTTGAGAGTTTAGCGTCGAAAGTTTCGGCTTCAGGGCCGGGGTCCTAGTTAAACAGCCTCGGAATCGGACCTGAGTGCTGTGCAGACTCACTACTTCTGCAACTTTGGACGAAAAAGAAGAAACTCTTGCTATTCAACCTGTTATATTCCTATGTTCTCAATCCCAAACCTTGAAGCCCTAAGTCCCGGAACTCGGGTCGCTGATCCGACTAAGGCGCTCGAACTTCCACACATGGTGCAGCTCTGAGAATGCTAACTTTCTGCCATGACTGCAATGACTTCGAGTCACCCACTGGGATCAAAGACCTACGTTTTTTTGAAGTGGCTGGGGTTGGGGTACCATGATACGACGGCAGCCGAGCAACAAACCCAAACCCCATGAATGCTGAACTGAACCACCAAACAGGAACAGCTGAAACCCCCATACCCTACACCTCTAAGCTGAAAGCCCCTAACAGCCCTGAGTCTCACAACCCGAAAACCTTCAACCCATTCGGAACCCATTTGCAAACAGAGCCCTGAAAAGAACTTTAAACCCTGGCTGGATCGCATTCTGAGGCTTCGGCTACTTCTGGTACCTCGATTTCGCACAGAATGCCTTAGATGACGGACGATGCTCTAAGGGCAATTGGTGCTTGGGAGTTCAGGATCTGCCAGTGGCTCCACTTACAGACTTACAGGTAATGCAGCGGTGCCATGTCGTCGATCTGTCTACCTGATTACGTGGCTACCTACGGATCTTTCTCTACATGCCATAGGTCTACGACTGTTTCAGGGTTCGGGACAACAAATGAGCAGGCGCTAGAATGCTCTTGGAAGGCAATCTACAGTTTCTTGGAATGATTCACAGGCAGACTTTAGGGCTAGGGGCGGAGCACTTTTTTTTCCTAACGTTGGCGGTNNGGTCCCCGGTCTCCCTTGCTAAGGTTGGCGGTCCCGTTTTCGTTAGAACTACCATGCACTGCAGCAATTCCTATTGTTTTGCATCTAGCTATTCGGCAACTGCAATTAGCAGGGTGGCCTTAGGCCGCCAGCTATTGGAGAATTATATACAATTTGCAAGGTGG